TCGATTCCAGTCAAGGGTATGTATCTTGGTTGTGGGCACATCCCCAGTAGGGGGTGTGCAGGAGGCAGCTAATCAGTGTTTCTCATCGATGTTTCTAACTTTCTATCCCTCTTCCTTTCTCTCTGTAAAAATCAATAAAATATATATATTTTAAAAAGAGCTTTATTGATATCTTAATTCACATAGCATCCAGTTCACCCATATAAAGCGAATTATTCAATGTTTTTTAGTATAGTCACAGAGTTGCGCAACCATTCCCACAATATATTTTAGAACACTTTTGTAATAAATTTACTTTTAAAGGAAACTTTTTATTGTTTCCATAAATGGAAAACTTATGTTATTTACCATAAATGGCAGTCAAAACAAAAATAAAAAAAAGCAACAACACCTAGGCATTGTTATTAAATGCTCTCTAGTTAGCACAGCCTGTGAGGTATCTGGGCTTGAGAATTTTTGCCAAAAAGGGAGATCAGTAGGTGTTAAAGAGCTGTTAAAAACACACTAGTGCCCTAGCCAGTTTTGCTCAGTAGTTAGAGCATCAACCCTCCAGCCAAAGGGTTGAAGGTTTGATTCCTGGTCAAGAGCAGGTACCCCGGTTGCAGGCTCAATCCCTGGCCCAGGTCAGGAGGCAAACAATTCATGGATCTCTCTCACATCGATGTTTCTCTCTCTCTCTAAAAATCAATGGAAAAAGATCCTCTGGTGAGAAAAAAAAAAAAAAAAAGACACATTAGCAGCAAACTGAGACCCTATTTTTAGCATAATCAGAAAAATTAAAAGATAATTAAAAAGAAACTTACTTTTTCACTGTGCAATTTAATGCCACATCCTTGGACTCCCTATAATCACCCTGTGTGTACATCCCACACTTGCCTCTTTAAGGTAAGGAAAGTGACTTGTCCAACGTCACACAGCTAGGTAGTGGCAGATTGGATCTGGAGTCCAGGCTTCTAAACTTCTAACACTATGTTCTTTGCACTATATATCACAGTCCTCTCTGCGGTCATTAATTTAAGTTGGTCAAATGCCTAATGTGTGTGCTAGACAGCCCTGTTAAAAATTCACAAAGCATATATTTTATAGCTAGAGGGAACCTCAGAAATAATCTAATGCAACTCCTTTCATTTTACATGTGAGAAAAACCGATGAATTTGTTCACCTAAGCATGTTGAGAATTGCCTGTCAGTCAGTTGAATAGGACATATAACTAATGATACAGCTACAAACAGGCCAGAATTAATATGATCCTCTCTGGTCCTGAACTTAAATTAACAAAATTCCTGATATCTCGGTGCTGACCTAGCTTCAGTCTTACTCTTTAATTTGATCCTTTGGTCTGTCACAACCTCTGATGAGTAGTTTTGAGATTTTTACTTTCTTCGCAAACTAAAAAGTTAGCCTGCCACAGTTTTATGGATGCTGGCAGAACGCACAAGGCTTCTGGGTCAGAAACAGAGGACTTCTTTAGTCACAGCAATAGCAGTAGCAAAAGTATGGACTTTTTCTTTCTTTTTTTTTCTTTTTTTAATAAGGGAATTTTTAATATATTTTATTGATTTTTTTACAGAGAGGAAGGGAAAGGGATAGAAAGTTAGAAACATCGATGAGAGAGAAACATCGATCAGCTGCCCCCTGCACACCCCCACTGGGGATGTGTCCACAACCAAGGTACATGCCCTTGACCGGTATCGAACCCGGGACCCTTTAGTCCGCAGGCCGACGCTCCATCCACTGAGCCAAACCAGTCAGGGTTGGACTTTTTCTTATGCTGGTTCCCTGATCCCCAATTCCCAAAGATGGTGCAAAGAGGGCCAGTTGATACCTGAGCACACAGTAAGATACATCACGAGAGAGGAATCCAAAGCTTAGGGAACCAGATCTTAAATGACAGGCAGCAAGCACGCCTGTACTTTGCTCTGAGGAAGACACTATCTTATAAAGATAGTCAGGAACAAAGGGCAGTCAGTGACTGCTCACAGGCATGCAGAAATATGACAGACCCATGGAGAATTGTCTCCCAACAACTGTTAAGTACACATATGGCAAGTGAACTCACAGTCCTCTAGCTACACCAGAAGGCAAGGGATGGGCAAGTGGAAACACAGGTTGACTAGTCCTGTTCTTTGTATATTGATTCTTATTGGTTTCAATTATGGAAAGAGTATGTGGAGGCTTGCTTGTGGATTTTGACATGTGTTCCACTTTTTTGATGCATGTAGCCTCAATTCACTGCCTTGACAGGATTTCGACAATTCAAATTATTCCTTTTGCATAACTGCCAGAAACCTCTAGAAGCTCTGTAACTCCACAGAAAGAAGAAGAGTATAGCCTTCCAAATGTTATTTGCTTCTGGAGATAGTGCATGCTGGGAAAACCCATGCTGGCCATACCTCAATCATGTCTGGGATGTACACCCATGTCTTGCATTATGTCCATCAATACCTGCAATAAATGTGACAAGGTTTGCCAGTCACCAATCATTAAGATCCCTGTCTTGGTTTAGTCTGTAATTTCAAACCAGGACTAATGGGTCACAAAGTCAGGCTTTATTTGTTAAATGAGCTCCATCTCTGAAGGCAGATGGTTTGTATCTACAACCAAGACCCAGAATTCAGGCCTCTAGCTGTCAGGTCTCAAGGCTGTTAGTTTTGTTCCTCTGTCTGGAGGAGGATGAATTCCTAGGCCCGTGGTCGGCAAACTGCGGCTCACGAGCCACATGCGGCTCTTTGGCCCCTTGAGTGTGGCTCTTCCTAAGCCTTAGGAGTACCCTAATTAAGTTAATAGCAATGTAGCTATCTATATAGTTTAAGTTTTAAAAATTTGGCTCTCAAAAGAAATTTCAGAAATTTCGTTGTACTGTTGATATTTGGCTCTGTTGACTAATGAGTTTGCTGACCACTGTCCTAGACTAAAGAAGACCAATGCAGTTCTGTACAGAAGCTTATAGATATTGCCAGAACCACACCAGGACCTGGGAGATGGTCCGTGGAGAGATTCTGTGGCATTCTATATAGGTCGTCAGCCTCTTTGCAGCCGCATCAGATGGGAGTTATTCAATGGGCTGGACTGAGGTAGTTGGAGCCTAGAAGGTGAGTCAGTGACCACACCCTCCAACTAGGGGCAAAGGGCAAACATTATGTCAGGAAACCAGGCAAAACTCATCACTACAGAGCAAAGGCCATTTAAGTGGAATAGCTTGGAGAGTAATTCTAAAATTGCTGGGAAGCCACAGATTATCCAGCTAGTGTAGTAGGCTGCTCTAAGTATAAATATACTCTATACTAAAAAAAGGGTAATATGCTTATTAGACCGGGAGACCTTCTAGGAGACCTTCCAAACGTCCTTCCAGACAAAACCATGGTGGCGGGGCCGAGGCAGAGGTGGTTAGGGGCGATCAGGCAGGCAGGCAGTTAGAAGCCAGCAGTCCCAGATTGGAAAGGGTGCAGGCCAGGCTGAGAGACACTCCCCCTCCCCCCTTTGCATGAATTTCGTGCACCGGGCCACTAGTATAAATATAATTTAGAGTTGATGACCCAAAGTGGTCCTTCCATCTCATTACCTTTTGGAGAACTCTATTCGGAATTAGGAAGTAGAAGGAGATAAATAAGGGTCTTTTTCCCTACCCAAGCAATGCACAAACAACTTTTACACAAAGTTCCTTGGAGCTGCTGTGAAGAGTTTTATTTCATGAAGATCCCCAAAGAGCTATAGCTGCTTACGGACTCTATATGCTGCTTCAGTGTATAGACCCTTGTTGTAATCCCAGACAGTACCACACTCAGAAGAGGAGGGCTGCTTCTTCCCCTAAGAAGTCATGAGACCTAAAGTCATCTCAAGAATGTCTAGCAATCTCTTGGCCTGTGAACTGAGTGACACCTCCCACATTGATGCTAAGACTGCCCTGGCCACTGGGCTTAACTAGTCTCCAGAGTGTCAAAAGGTGGTGGATTCAATCCCTGGTCTCTCTCTTTCTCTCTCTCCTTTTCAACCTTCCTCTCTCTACAAAAAAGAATAATAAAATAAAAATTTAAGTGGAGAATCTTTAAAAACAAAAACAACAAAAACCTAAGACTGATGCCCCAGGACCAATATTTATTACTGATTGTGAAAAGACTTCCTCCCTGGTGCAGTGAGCTTAGCCTTTGAGCTGTGCACACCAGTAAATGCTCATCTGTCTTAAACAGGAAAAAGCAACCTGTACAAGGTGATTGAACTCCAACCTCCATCCCAGAAATGCTGTGCAGGTTCCTGGGTTTGTGCGTTTCTGTTTATTGTGAAAAGAAAGATTCATTTAGCCCGGCCAGTGTGGCTCAGTGGTTGCACATCAACCAATGAACCAGGAGGTCATGGTTTGATTCCTGGTCAAGGCACATGCCCAGGCTGCGGGCTCAATCCCCAGTAGATGGCGTGCAGGAGGCAGCTAATCAATTATTATCTCTCATCATTGATGTTTCTACCCCTCTCTCTCTCCCTCTCCCTTCCCCTCTCTGAAATCACTTAAACAACAACAACAACATAAAAAAAAGATTCATTTATAAACTCTGGGTGGTTGGACAGCCTTGCTGGGGAACAGTGCTCACCAAAAAGCACAGAATTTCCATAGCAGCTTTTGTTTTACTTTTGTTAACCTTTTCTACATTTGGCCTCTACATGGTGGCAGGCAAGTACTACAGTAAGCAAATCTGAGAACAAGCTCCAAGAAATGGTTTGTGAATTGGATGGAGTTCATTCCTGAACCAGGTGGCTGTATACAGACTGAACGTTCAAGGCACTGTCTTAGAGTTTCTAGCAGCCTGTCACTGTGGGAACCTCCCTGTGAGCTGGCATCCTGGGACTTTACCAGGCCCACCCAGCCAGACTTCCTGCTCAGCTGTAATCTGGAAACTGGGCCTTCTCCTACTCCGTGTAATACATGTATCTAATAACACGATGTTTGGAAAATGCCACTGCATTCATTTTCTATGGCTACTGTAACAAATTACCACAAAATCGGTAGCTGAAAAATAAACAGCTTTTTATTTTACAGGCTAAAATGAAGGTGTTGGTAGGACTGGATTTCTTCCTGGAGTCTCAGTGACCCCTCCACACAGGCCAGCTAGGAAGACAGTCATTGAGCACGTCTCTGCATTGACTTACGTCCGATTGCCCAAATGTAATTCAGGAAGGGGCTACGGCAGACAGAAGAACAGTCCTCCACAAAATGTCCCCGTCCTAATCCCCAGAACCTGTGACTATATTAGGTTACACGATAAAGGGGAATTAAGGGTAAGATAGACTTAAGGTTGCTAATGAGCTGATCTGAAAATAGATTATCCTGGATTTTCAGGGTGGACCCATGTAATCACAAAGATCCTTAACAGTGGAAAAGGGAGGCAGAAGAGGAATCAGTCAGGGGAAGACGTGGCTATGGAAGAATGATCCAGAGAGACGTCAGGCTTTGAAGTTGGAGAAAAGGGGTCACGAGCCAAGAAATGTGGGTGGCTTCTGCAAGCTGGAAAAGGCCCGGAAATGGATTCTCCTGTTGCTAGGAGAGCTCTGGTTCTCATGCTCCCCAGCCTTTGAGTGAGTCTGCCTTTGTGGTTTCCCATTGGGTGTGAAGGCAGGCTTACAGATCATTTCCCAGATGCCACTTTCCATCAGTTTCACATCCACCTTTCTGGGCAAAGACTTCACTCAACTCTATGGTTTCCTGTACTTCAGTAGAAAAGACGAAGCCTTGCAACCTGAGGTTCTGTGATCTAGCCAATGTGCTAGCAGAAGCAGTACTTGGGGGGAGAGGGGGGAGGAAGGAAAATGGTGGATTTTCCCTAAATGATGCTTTTGAGCCACCTTTAAAAAGGTCCCTGTTTTCCACAACAAGCTACAATGAAGCTAATGTTTCTGTTATGAAAGCCCTCCACTGCAGTTTCAAATGTCTGGTGTTTTTGCTGTTGTTGTTTTAAAGCCACAGCAAAGGCTAACCCCGTTTTTTCTCTCCAGCTTTACTGGATCAGGAATTCATCCCCCAAGACTGCTGCTTAACTACTTTGTTGCTGTTTATCAGAAATAAAAAGATGGCTTTTTGTTGTAGTTCTCAGGGGTGAGCAAATTTATTCTGGGCGATGATAACTTTCAGAATGACTCTTGCCTGAAGCGCCTCTTCTCCGGACTCCCTCCTCTCCTCTAAGCCTTCGGCTGGCGATGAAACACGGAATGCATCAGGCCCCAAAGAGATCCTCGGTGTTGAGTGTAAAGGAAGAGGTGGAAATCCGCAGGGGAGGAAACCATTTTGCAGCCTCAACATTTGCAGTCGCTGAATAGCCCCCTGAAGTGTCGTAAATGGTAACCATCCTGCACACTTAGCACCGTGGGAGTGACGACGGATAAGCGTGCAGACCTTTTGAGGAAATGTGGGGAGGAGACCCGTGTTTTTTAAGGTCCTGCTTAGGCAATTATGTGGCAAAACAGAGCACTCTGCTTTCTTACCTGACCTTCTAGCTAGGCAACACCAAACAGAAAAACTTTCTCTCCTTCCTCCCCCACTGCTTTGTTTGTGGGTTGGGTGTGTTTCTCCTGGAACCTCAGCTCTCTGGGGCCCCTGCACCCCAACACCACCTTCCAGACCCGAGAACAGGCTCGACTGCACTTCTTCAGCGCAGACACGACCCGGCCGGAGCCAGCCTTCCCCAGAGGGGTCCAGCCTTGGCGGACGGCCGCCGGCTGCTCCCCGGAGCCGAGGGCGCGCAGCCAGGGAGACGGCACCCGAGGCCCTGAGCGGGCGGGCGGGCGGGCGGCTGCAGGGCCCGGCGCGCCGCCGCGCGAGCTGCTGGGTCAAAGCCTGGGCCGCGCCGCCCGCTCGGCGAGGAAGTGACGACTGCGCCGTCCCGAGAGCAACAAAGTTTGATCTGCGGGCCGCACGGTCCGCGCCCAGCGCCCCTCCGAGCCGCCCCGGGAACCGGCGCGCAGGTGAGCCGCGGACTCGGCGCCCCCCCACCGCCGAGGCGCCGCCGGGGAGCTCGGAAAGCGTCCGGGCGGGGGCTTGGCCGCGCGGGCGGGGAAGTGGTGGGCCCGCCGCTCAGGGCGCCGGGGTGCGGCGGGCGCTGCAGGGAGGGAGCTCGGCGGCCGGGGTGGGGGCCCGGGCTGCGCCCTGTGGTCGCTGGTTTGCCGCCGGACTTCAAGCAGCCCTGGCCGTAGGCGGGCCGCTCCGGACTGTGCTGATCGGATAGGAGGGGGTGCAGGGAAGGAACTTAGGGCGGCTTGCATCTGGGGCCAGTCCTCCGCCCCGCGCCCCCCAGCCCAACAGGCGGGGCGGCGCAGCACCCCCCAGCCCCCTCCCTGCTTCTCCCCCTCCGCAGTGCTTCCCGGGGAAGCGTGCTGTTCCTCTTCTGGGCCCTCAGTGAGGTCGCAGGTAGGAAGTTAAAGGAACTTTCTCCCCACTTTTCTCTGCTCTGCCCTCCTGTGAGGAAGAGCAGAGCAGCTTAAAAGCTTGGGAAAACAACCTTCCCCATTTCCCAAAAGCAAAGCCAGAACTGCCCCCCAGCCCCCTTCAAACAAATCCCACCCTTCCCCCTCCCACTCCGCGCCCTGAACCTGACAGTAATCACTAAGGCCTCACACTTTGCAACTTAGCCGTAAAAACTGTCAGCACACCCACGTACATAGGAGTGGTTTCTATACAAAACTCCAAAACCCGCTTCCAATGGACTCGGTGGCCTGTCGCTCGTTTCTGGTTTCTGAAACTGCTGGGACTGCAGGAATGTGCTGGGGAACTTCGATGGTGGTTCCCGCCGCTCTCGGTAGCCTCGTGGCTCAGGGTTTTGCTTTGTTTTTAAGAACAGTTGAGAAGTTTATGACATCCCTGCAAAGTACTCCGGGGCTGGGGACTGGCGAGCCGGGTGGGTGGCTCTCGGGCCACTGTAACAGCAGCGGCGGGACGCGTTGGTGTGTGCAGGAATGTACGTCCGTGCGGTGGAGACTCCACACTCGGGATGGCTAGAGGTTGCATGGTGCAGTTCCTAGCAGCAAGCTTCCTGCCGGCCTGTAATTACAGCGCGATTGCACAGTCAGGCATTGTTGGCGTGTATGTTTATACACAGGCTATTGTGCAAGCCGTCAGTGGCAGGGAACAAAACGCAGATTTGCATTGCAAATGCCCAGGACAGATCTGGGCCTGAGTTCCAGTCACCGAGTTCTTTTTGGTTTTTAACCTTAGCTAAGGTGTTTTATTTCCTTGCCTCTCCCTTAACCTTGGACAATTTGCCAAACACTCCATAAGTGAAGTGGACCCAGGAGGGCAGGATCCCTCCACTCCCACCACCTTGGGCAGCCTGAAAACTATCCCAGGAGCCGTTCCCTTATTTGTGTCTGTAGAAAATGCGGGATGACGTCAGCAGGAAAAGGAGCCGGGAGATGGCTATCAACCTCCCTAAACGGGAAAGCAGTGTGAATTAGCAGAATTGCATGGTGGCTTGATTGCGGCCTCCTTACTAAAAGGACACGTCAGACATGTGTGACTGAGCTGGCTGGTGAGCTAGACTTTGAGCCTTGAAGTGTCAGCTGCAGAAACTTAGTTGGTGGATCCTAATTCCTTTATTGTGTCCCAGGCAAAGGGAAAAGTGCTGGGACTTTGAGACTACGTGCCTGTGACAGTGTCTGGGGTGGGGGTGGGGGAGTCAGAGGAGTGACTCATGTATTTTTCTCCAGAGGACCCCCAGACCCACGGCCTGAGCAAGGCATGCTGCACAGGCCAGGGTAGTGGGTCTTTGCACCCCCACCCACTGAGCTGCCTGCTGCAGGACGGGAGACAAGCCTGCAAGTGCGGACAGAAGGCAGCAGGTCCTCCTTGAGCCTCAGAGGTGGCTAACTGTAACAGAGGGATTTAAAACAGTCATAAAGCACGTACATTGCCCAGCCGGTGTGGCTCAGTGGTTGAGCGTGGACCCATGAACCAGGAGGTCGCTGGTTTGATTCCCAGTCAGGGCACATGCTGGGATGGTGGGCTCAATCCCCTGCATGCATAAGGCAGCTGATTGATGTTTCTATCTTCTATCCTTCTCTCCCTTCATCTCTCTGAAATCAATAAAAACATTTGTTTTTAAAAGCATGTACAGGTTGCATGCAGAGCCATTCACATTCCAAATCTCAGCCCACGCTCTTCCTGCCCTAGGTGGGAGACTCTCGAGGGGGAGGGGGACAGCACCCAGCCCTGCTGAGGGTACTGTGTGGCTCAGTGGCATCACCCACCGTAGTGCTAGAGCAGCCTCTCTGCTTAGAGTGGCAGGCACCGATGGCCCTGGCACCCTGGAGCTCCTCCACGCCTGGCTTTCTCCCCAGCCACGTAACTGGGTTTCACCTGGAAGGAAAATGCTTTTTTTGCAGCCTCGTGCCAGCTGTGTGTCATGAGCTGACAGTGACCTTTTGTCAAACCAAAACATTAGGCACAATCCCGGGCAGGCACCTCTGTGCTTCCAGAGACTTGAGGAAAAACATGTGAAATTAGAACATTTCTGGGTATTCTGGGATGTACAGACACAGTTCCACAAGGAAATGAGGTTAAAAGTGATAACACCAGCACAGGAGGAGTTCCCATGAGTTGCACAACCCCCTGTTCTGGGTACATTTGGTTTTTTATTGAACTTGACTTGTCAAGGTCCTGATTAGCTGTCTCTCCTGACCAGGGCTGCTTTAGCTAGGGGATTACTGGGGCCCAGCACTAGTTTTGAGGAACAGGGGGTGGGAGCAGGCCCTTCTGACCCCCAAAGAAAGACAGCTTTGAGTTTGCAAACCTTTGTGTTCATGTGGGATCTACAGAGACTACAATTGCCCAGAGGCCCCCCAGGAGTTGGGGCAGAAGGGGGACCCCTTGCAAAGGCCAGAGAAAGAAGGAAACAGACTCCCTGGAGTTATGGAGCCACGTGAAGGAGTTGCCTGCCCCTACCTTCAGCTCACCCTGGCCGGGTTTTGTGCATAACTCAGGCCCTGCCCCTCGCTTGTTCAGCTTTGCTTCTGCATTCACAGAGCTTGCCCTGCAGAGGTTTAAGACCGGAAACATAATCCTGACTTCCTCTCCCACCTTACCTAAATGCTGATTTATGGCCTGAAGTTGCTGGCCAGTTCGTGGCCCCTGAGCAGCCCTGTCTGCTGCCTCGCTGTGCACAATTGGGAACGACATTGGAAAAGCTCCGAATCAAAACTTGACATGTTTAAAAAATAATTTCATTGTTTTAAGAGGAAAAAAACTGTTGGAGGTAATTAGGGGGCTCAGCAACTCTGGCAAAAACCCCAAGATGCCCCTGAGTGAGGCAGATGGAGAAGTCCCCTGCAAGAGGGTGGTCTTAGAATGGAGGCCTTTTATTTATGTATATTTCTGTTCATCTGCCTCTTCCCAGCTGTTTCACTCCTTACACCACAATGCAGTGTTTTGACATCACGATTTACCTCCAAAATAGGAGGCAGAACACCCCCAGCCAAAAGGGGGCATTCTAGATTCTGAAGAAAGTGCTGCTGTTTTCCCGACGCCTGGCGGTTCTGTCCTGTGAATTTGTTTCCTTCTTTAAAGCGGCCGCCCTCCATTTTTGGTTCTCACTGAAGCATCTCTTTGTGAGACCCTTAAACCTTTTTTTTCCCCCTCGTCTACATGACACAGGGCAATGCTTTACGACTTTCTGTCTCAAGTGCCACTTGAAATACACACAGGGCTTTGAATAAGCCTGGGATAAAGGGCCCCTCTGTAATCTCCCTTAAAATGCCTGTTTGCAAGAGTCACCCTCCTGCTCAGCAACCTTCAATGGCTCCCCACTGTCTGCATGGTAAGGTTCAAACTTCTAGGCTGGCCGTCAGGGCCTTCTACACAGGGGTCTGGCCTTCGCTGTTCTCCTGCCTGAACCTCTGCTCTGACCCAGTGACCCACTCTGTGTGTTTGTCCAAACTGCTGGTGGCAGCATTCCTGCCTCCCAGGCCTCCCTGGAATCCTGGAATGTCTCTTCTTTCATCTCTTCCACTTGACTCAGCCTTGCTCTCCTCTTAGTCCACCCTCCTGTTCATGTTCACCTTCTCAAGAATTCCCCCGTCACACTCTGTGGGCCTCGCCCCGGGATTCCAGTAACATCCATTGGGGCCCCAATCTGAAGAAAATCCAAGGATTTTCAGCTTCTCTGGTGGGCCATGGCTCCAGTCATACCCCATATTCAGCTTTGTAATGTGCCTTTGGGTGGATCAGTATGATCACTTTTCGGGTATACTGAAAGGCCCTGCTTATATGTCTTTGTGTCCCAGGGCCTGGTGCTCCTCCACTCATAGCAGGTCCCCATAAATGATGACAATAGTGATACAAATGGCATTATTGTCTGCTTGTGCAAAGGCACACACAGCCAAGCCACGCACCAAGGACCATGGTTCCCAGACTTCATTCTAACCCTTTCCCAGCGCTGCCTCCTTCTGTCTGTTAGTCTCTCTTTGGCGCCTCCTGGCTTTGCACCTCATATTCTGCTCCATTTCCAGCACCCCTAACTTCTGGGTGCCAGACAGTGTCTGTCCAGCTTCCGAACGGCTCCTCTTTGTCCTGATTTTGGCCTGTCCTATGCCCCATGCTGTCCTATGCCTGACCACCGGCTCTCAGGGAAGAGCATTTGTTGCCTGGGTTGACCTGGCCTCCCAAGGGAACCAGACTGATAGAAGGAGTCAGGGACAACTCTCAGGTAAGACTTGTGAGCAAGGCAAAGAGATACCTCTTGGTTGGTTGCAGGTTTCTTTTGCCTGAACAGGTATTGAACTTATAAAACTAGGCCAAACTCGCCCTGGCCAGGTAGCTCAGTTGGTTAGAGCAGGGGTCGGCAAACTGCGGCTCGCGAGCTACATGCGGCTCTTTGGCCCCTTGAGTGTGGCTCTTCCACAAAATACCGACTTCTGCGCATGGGCCACGAAGTTTCAATCGCACTATATGTGCGTGCCCGCACGTGGTATTTTGTGGAAGAGCCACACTCAAGGGGCCAAAGAGCCGCATGTGGCTCGCGAGCAGCAGTTTGCTGACCACGGGGTTAGAGCACTTTCCTGATACACCAAGATTGAAGGTTCAATCCCCGGTCAGGGCACATACAAGGATCAACCAATGAATGCATAAATAAATGAAACAACAAACCAATGTTTTTCTCTCCCTTCCTCTAAAATCAATCAATAAATACAACATTTTAAAAAAAAACAAAAAACCAAAACAAACAAACAAACAAAAAACTAGGCCAAACTGTAAAACTGAGTCTTGGGGAGATCCTGGCTAAACCCTAACATTGGGCTTGACTAAGAAGATTCTGTTGTCTCCACCCAGTTCTCATGCTGTTAATCTTAACCTTGCCATATAAACGAAATTCATTCTTTTTTAATTGAGATATAACTCACATGCCATAAAAGGCACCCTCTAAGCCAGATTTTAAAAAAATTTTGTTTTACTTAAAAATAAAATCTGGCTCTGGCTAGTGTGGCTCAGTTGGTTGGGAGTTGTCCCAAGTACCAAATGGTTGCTGGTTCAATTCCCAGTTGGGGCACATGCCCGGGTTTCGGGCTCAGTCCCCATGGGGGTCATGCAGGAGGCAGCCGGTTGATGTTTCCCTTTCTCTCTCCCTTTCCCTTCTATTCTCTAAAAATCAATAAAAATATTAAATTTAAAAAAATCTGATAGATTCTTTTCTCCTCAGTTTTCTATTCAAAAAGTTAATACCTAGAATTCAAAAATTTAAAAAGATAAATTATACAGTGTAAAGTAAGTCTAAAAAAGAATTTCAACATAGACAAGAGATTATTATTGTACAATATACAAACATATATAAATACAATAGAATTAGAAAAATAAATATCTGTTTTAACTTTGAGGGAAGCAAGAAAAGACACAAAGCAAAAGCCATAAGAAAATATTGATAAAGTTAATAACATAAAAATTTGAAAGAATAAATTTCCCATCTTCTTATGGTCCCCATGTTTTCAAGCCTTCAGTGTCCTTGTCTTAAGCAACTATAATTTGTCATTTTTTAGTTATGCTTCCAGATGTAGCCTCTGCAGATAGAAGAAAATATGAATAAATAAACTCTAGCATATTATACAGAGGATTCTGATGTCTGTGTTTTTCACTTAATGTATCTTGGAAATTGTTTTATGTCAATGCATATAGAGCTGCCTCCTGTTTTCCAATGGCTAAATTATTCTCACTGGATGAAAACGCCAGGATTTATTTAACTAGTCTCCTACTGAAGAACATTTGGTTTTTTCCCAGTCTTTTGCTTCTACACCCAATGCTGCAGTCAGTATGCTGAATTCAGTTTTAATGGGAAATTCTTGATGAACATATATAGGTGAAACTGGGATTTACATAGAAAAGTTATGCATAAACTGCATTTAATAAACAATATTTTCTAGGATCTGCTGTTTCAGTAGATAATCAGTTTTT